TTTTTGTATGATGATTTCAATTATGTGAAGCCACAGAGCCTCCTCCACTACTCTGCTAGCTGGATGGAATCCTGATAGATACGGCTAGATAGTCCTGAAGTGAGAACAGCTCCAGATCGAGTAGAATTGCCAAGAAACATCATTGACGTGGTGGTCAAGTACCCTCTCGATCACATGGAAATTCGATGACTGGCAAGGTAGGGTGGTGGAACGTTATCTAGCAGAGCCAACTGCGTTGTTAGGTTTGAGGTGGAAGATTAACTAAGAGAAGTATTGCGGCTATGTAATACCTTACTTTAGTGCTTGACCCTTGAATCGGAAAAGGACAACTTAGGGTCTCCACCATTGCACCATGGTTTGGGGAGTCCGGCCTCCAGACCGTGCTAGTTCCTCCAGACCTCTTCTATATCAGCAATCCATATTCTGCCAGAGCATAATGTCTACTTTCGTCCTCAGGGAAGTCTTAGAGCAATTTCCGGTTTACGAAATTTTTTATTCTCGCCTTTCTTTCACCTTTGAAATATGCACACGTCTCAGTTCCCTTTGCACTGCTTTTTGTTACATTTTAGGAAAAATTCCACATAAACAATCCCTTTGAATTTTTCGTTATTAAACAAAACTTGTGTTTTTTATATTTTTTTTTAAGCGAAACCAAGCACGCCCACTTTCCTCATTCATCAATCCTCAATTGTGATGATTGTGATTGAATTTGTTCGACTTTTGTGCTTTTATCTTAATGCAAACCCACTTCACTTCCTCATTTTGCCGGCGGAAAGAAATTTGGACCAAATGTAAGCAATTTTAAAAATTATTTTATTTGCAAAACAAAGTCATTTAAGACGGTTACAAAAATGCATGTGCGTGTGGGTGTAAGAGGGATTTAAAATCCTCATTTGCAAAATATTTTTTGCAAAAAAGAAAGGCAAATGAGATCGGTGGGTATAACAGAAACCAGTATGTAGAGGTGCCAATTTTTGAGGTAGATGGGGCAACCAATCTGAAAATAAATTGTATCAAGTTCATGGGTATG